CCCCAAAACCCCAAAACCCCAAAACCCCAAAACCCCAGTAAAATTATTACTTATTGAATAACATTCGGCAATGGATCACGAATACTTTTCACGAAGTAGAGCTGACAAATATGGGCTAAATAATGCCCTTAAGCAAAGAACACAACAGTTTTGGAAGAAGAACAATTTTACTGATAAAGTAAATAAACAATAATTTTGAGACTTATTGTATAGAGAAATCTTCACTCTTCCTTCACCTTTCGGAACCTTGGGATAACTATGCACAAGAGCCAGATAAAGGAAATGGCTCAGAAGCATAAGCTTGGTCCATTTTCCTCCCTTGGTAGGAAAGGAAGCACTGCATTAAAGGCTCAAAAGAAAATTTTGGAAAAAGATTTTATCAAGAGTCCAAACAGGTCAAGAAAAGTAGATAATAATTCAAGAAGGATTACCTCTCTCACCGAATTACAGAAATAAGGAAATAATTGATAGGGATGAGATTAGGTAAGCTCCCAAAGCCCCACTGTGAACTTCTTCGGGACGAAACCTACGTATCGACAACTCTAAACAACATTCCCAATGAAGTTACTACATTTGTTTGTTTTGAATTCTTCAAATCTTATTCATTCCTAAAAGTCTTAACTTCAAAATAGGATCTTCTCTCCAATACTGAATTTCAAAAAGCCGCACTTCAACAACGCAAGGTACGATCATGAGGAAGCTAAAGGTAGGATTTTGCACAATTTTTTATTGGAAAATCTAATCATCAACTAATATTTTACATATCTTGGGAAATAGCCTGACCCTGTCTACCACGAAGCTTTCTCTTATCTGCTTGTATTCTTATCCTGATCCGAGGGTTTATAATAAGGAACTTCTAAGAGTCTTTTAAGTATCAGCCATGCTTGGAGATCTTGGGATTCCTAATTTGTAATATTTCTATGATAATTGCAGAACTGTCGAATTTGATAGCTGCATTATTATGAAGTTTATAAAACTCACAAATCTCAGCAAGTTTTGACTCTCAAAACTTCTTGCTAGAGTTAAATCAAAAATTTCAATGATTTTGATCGCAAGAATTCCCAAAGAGAATAGTTTACAGCGATAGTAAATTTTACTCAGGATCTTCCTTGTATCAGAAATATGATAAAACACTTAAATCATAGGGAAACTGAAATAAATCTGACAAACTAGACCTAGTTCATAAGAAATGTAAGGATTTGCTTGATTTTTTTAGCTAAGAAGGCTCAATATTTAAAGCCTAGCCCTTCTCTAAGCCAATCTCCTGTCAAAAGTAAAGAGAGCAAGCAGTTTATCAAGAATAAGGTATTTTACAGTCTTATAAATATAGAATTTTAGTCCAGAACCCAGACCGACTCAGGACAATCTCTTTCCTTCTCTTGGGACTTCCTTGACACAGTAAGTGTTATTAGTAACTCTCTTAGAAATAAAAGAGCATTGAAATAAAAAGAAGCTAGAGCCTATCAAAACTCTCCAGAAGTGGCCATCAAAGAAGCTTCTTATTGGAGATACTTATATCAGGAAATTCCAGGCGTCAGAGATTGCCACAAAAAATCCAAGTGTAACTGATCTTATAGTAGCTACTCCGCTGACCAAGAGCCTGGATGCTAAGGCTCTCAGGAGAAAATTTTCTAATAAGGCTTTTAGAGTGGGGAATGTACTAGAAAGTAAGCAAGCACTCATAATTCTAGAAACAGCAACCAACCGGGGAACTTTCAATTACCTCAATGAGGAAACTGATGACAGCATTTCAACGGAAGAACTTGAATCAGAGAGCAGCCAACAGCTCTTTATCGGTAAATATGACTCGTTCATTATTCACTTTGACGAGGAATCCAGGACCATTATCTCCAAAAGAGTCAGAGACAGAGAAATTCGATTTGGAAATCTTTCTCTAGGAGACGATTTTATTTGAAAGTTTGCTGATCAACTTAAAAAGGACCACAATATTCATAAAATTTTGATAAATAACAATAGGATAACTAGTCGAGGAGCTATGGCCATCTTGAATAAGGTATCGTACTCGACTAACTACCTGAATCTCTCAGGAAATCCGGATATAAAGGTCGACTCCTACAAGTTCTTATCCAAGTATGTACTTCAAGATTACAGGAAGAAGATAGTTCACCTAAACTTAGAAGGTAATTCTATGGGAGATTACTCTATTGGAATCATCTGAACTACTCTTGCTGATGATTCATACATTAAGTATCTTAATCTAAGCAAAAACTGTATAACTGACAGAGGGGCAGCCGCCCTTGGATATCTCATATACAACAACCGCTCCATAGCTTCTTTGTTCGTTAGTTGGAATGAGTTCAAAGGAGAGGGAGGCAAACATATTGCTGATGGCTTGAAAGAGAATGCACATATAAAAGTGTTCGACATGAGCTTCAACTCTATTGGTTCAATGCACTTTCAGAAGCACAACTGCATTAAATACTTTTCTGAGGCCTTTAAGATCAATAATACACTTGTGCATGTTGATATGTCTTATCTTGGTTTGATCAAGAAAGACCTTGAGTTATTAAATCAAGGTCTTAAGCACAATCATTCGATATTGGGCATTCATATGTTAGGAAATGAAGGAGGAGTTGATTCATTGGGATACCTATCCACAGACCTAGACCCTCCTAGCTCCTCTCAACTGATTTCCACCATTAGTCCTATGCTGAAAGCTGGAGAAGTTGATCCAAAATAACCTAGACCTTCAAAGATGAACAAACTGTTGGATTTGTGAAGGATGGACTCCTATTACTTTCAGGTTCATTCACAAAAATTCAAGCCATCCACATATAAAATTAAAGGAGAAAGCGACTGTGCTTCTCCATCTTGGCATCGATAACTTTGAGCCTGACATAATGTATCCTGATAAGGATAACCCTGGAGAGTATTACAAAGTGCGGATGGTTCCAGCTACAGATACTTACTTCTATTTCACAGTGGATGAGCTTCCCCAAGTCAGGACAGATATTGACACCATTGCTTGAGATTCAAGCAAAATTCCTAGAATAGAGAAAATAGAAGAACGGAACGCTACAATGCCTTGGAAAGTCAATGCCATGCTCTGAGGCCCTCAGAATCAGATCGTCATTTACTGTGACCTTCTTGAAAATTTGAATTGACTTCCCAGACCCAAGAAGTTCAAAGCTAAGAAAAAGAAACAACTCAAAATAAAGCCAAAATTTGAGATCTCAAAATCTGTGTTCAAAAAGTACCAGAATGAAGGGACAAAGCTCATTGAAAGATGCTTTGAATTTGACTGGAAATGCTCCAAGATAGAGAAGGTCATTAAAAGTGAAGAAGAGAGAATCCTTATTAAATAAGTACCTCAAATCAAACTATCGGATAATCAGAGAAGCTTATAAGTACTTTGCAGGAATCTCTCCTTGTGGAATAGTTCCAGGTATCGGCCAGAACGCTTTCAATGAGATCGTCAATGCTACTCATATCTGTGACAATAAGAGACTGAAACTTGCTGATATAGACTTTGAGTTTATCGTGACTAAATCTGGTAATAAGTAAAGCACTTAATCCAGAAAGATGGCTGATAAGATATCAGTTCATGGAGATATTCGTCAGGCTTGCTCTCCACATGTACTTCAAGTCTAAAATAGTTGAGACACAGTCTGAATCAGTAGTCAAATTAATGGATGAAAAGATAATGCCATTCTTTAACAAATTTGATTGCCACAAGTGGAGAGTTGAGCATTTATGGAATCTTGAATGTGAAACAGTCTTAATTAAATATATCGGAGTCCTTCAAAGAGTTTATAATAGGTACTCTGGGATGTACACCTTACCTGGAAGAGTCAAGTTCATGAGCATCGATGAATTCATTACTCTTATTAATGATTCTCAAGTACTTTCAAACGAAGTAGGTGTCGGAAATTCTGAACTTGGGGCTCAATTCAACCTCTCAATGAGTACTCAAGTTGATGAAGTTGAGAAAGATCGTCATTGCCAAATGATGTTCTTTGAATTCTTGGAAGCCATAGCTAGAGTATCTTATAAAATATCATCTTTCCCTGATGTGGATAAACAAATCTTGTTCAAAAAGGAGAACGGGAAAAAGGAAGCTAGCATGATGAGAAACAGAGGCAGCTCTTTAGACACATCGGACTCTGAAGATGTCACCAAAGAAGAGGTGAAAGAAGATGCTATTGAAAAATACTATAATGCACTAGTAAAACCCTTGCATGTCAAAATTGAAATCTTGATCAAATATCTCCAAATATGTGCTTTGGAGGGTAGAGACATCAACATGCTTGAAGGGAAAGATAATAGTTTCGATAAATAACCAAACCTAGTTTCAATATTCCTTCTCCCAATAGGGGTTTTGGGGTTTTGGGGTTTTGGGGTTTTGGGG